TTATATATATATATATATATATCTATGAAGGAGCGTGGGAGACAAGTGCATCAGGTAATGTGGAGATAATTAAATATATGGTTAGTTTTCAAAATCGTTTTTAGGAAACTTATTTACAATAAAAAGATATTCAAATCTTTTTATGTTTTAAGTAAATTTTTTTACAAAACATTTTTTTCTATTAACTTTTTGACAATTAAGTTCAATTTCGTGTACAACTTTTGAATGACCCAATAGATAAAGCTCGCCATAGAACTTGGGCTGATCACTGAATAAATAGGACGATAAGATTAATGTTCAACTAAGCTATATGGATGCAAATTTAGGGAACCATATACAAATCCCATTTTGAAAATCTACCATTGTTGATATAATGAGAGGACGGTTTGACATCCACTACAATAGGGGTTTGCTAATGCTCAAGATAATATATTTTATTTAATAAATTAAATTTATATCACATTTTTATTTGTGGTGCATGTACATTCCTTTTAAACTCGACTTCAACTCATGTCTCCATCAATTGTTAACTGCTCAGACATTATTTGTGCCATGAAAGCTAGTAGAAATAATAATCTCGTTACATTTGTAGAAAAAAAAACAAAGATCATGTCCAACTATTCAATCGACATTATTATTACAAGAGACTATGTAGTTTACATCAAGAGTAACACAGGGGTTTATAATTAATTAGGCTCAGGTTATGATAAATTTATCTCTCATGAATATCTTAATCCCGACGCGAATGACCTGCCTTTAACCAGACCAAAAAATAGATTAATTGAGGTATGTNAATAAATTATCAAAATTTAAACTCAAAACGTCTAAATTTACAGTTCATATTAGTTATCGTTTAAGCTATCATTCGAATTGTCTTCCATACCATAATCAAAACCACAATATGCAAGCCTTGTACTTCCAAGAAACAGTGTAATCTGTTCCTATTGCATATGTTTTTTGTCTGGAGTAAAATATACAAAGAAAAACAAGGAGTAGTTATCTCCCAGTAGGACATTTCAGTCTGTGTGTGTTGCGTATGGTGACAAAGACATGCATTAATTAAGTAAAGAGAGGGACCTTATGAAGCCCTATGAATGAAAATATTCCCTAGTAGGTAGTATTACCTAGTTCATATAGATAGTAAGAACAGTATACAGGGGTTGCATTCTTAAGCAGTTTGTGCTTTAAAGTCAAGGTTACCCTAATTGTCAACATGAAAAGGCTAGCTCTAGTAGTAGTAGAACTCAGTTTATGGTTATAATAGAATTGGATAATATCTAAAAGATCGATCTAATTTGTTGATTGACAGCAACCAAATATCTCGAATATTCTTCCAAGAAACCATTCACACGTTCTATATCTGCCCATCAGTTTGAGGACAGATACCATGTATTTCAATTTTCCATGTTCTTCAAGATTAGGTGTGGTCATAATCAAAATAATAAATCAAGGGAAAAAAAGGGGATTAAAAAAGACTCATATTTCTCATCAGTTTGTACAAGAAGACTAAAAACAGAGTCCAAAAAATAAAGAAGAGCAGTTTGTAAAAGAAGAGGACTTAGATATATGTAGTGTTATGTATATACCTGGGGTTTGGGCTGTTCTTGATAGATTTCTGACCATACTTCCTCCATTTATAACCATCATCAGCCATTACATTGCCCCAGCTCTTAATCCTCAAAGTATACTTACTCTCAGCCTTACTCAAACCTCTTTCCAACATTGAAATCCTGCAAAAAGAGAACAGATTGATATAAGAAGAACTCAACAATGTCTTTATACCAACTATTTTTACGTGTATATTTTTAAGATTCATTTTCATATTGGACTGACAAAGTTTTATATTGTCGTCAGTTACCTTACGACACCCTCATTCTCTATTTTTGGGCATGGGACTGACAATGTAAAAGATAAGCATTAACACCAAAAATTTGAACCATTTGTGAGCACAAACCTGGCTTGTGGGATATCTTCTGCATGGTTTCTATATTTTGTAGCTGATAAAGCACTCTCAATATCTTCCATTGTTGGGCCAGAGTAGAGATTGGACATGAGCTGGTCATTGAGTGAATCTTCTGAAGGGCTAGAACTTGAATTAATGGTCTGCCGAGGTAACATGAAGAATGGCGATTCGTCGTCGAGAAGCTCTCTTATGAGCTCAGCTTCTTCAGACCCACCTGAACAAGTAGTGTTCGTGTTTACAATTTCATCCATTGGAAAGATTATGATAAAGAAGACTTAGCTGTGCATTAGGAGAGAAACTGACTTTAGCATCGATATGAAGTGGGTAAGAGAAAAGCTTATGAAATGAGGAAAGGAGAGTAAGAGTGGAGCAGATGAAGTGGAAGAAGTGATGTTCATGTGTGTTACCCTAACTAGCAAGAAATCAGTAGTTAGCTGTTGTGGATAACTATGTAATTCTAAGCCCCTCATATATAAGGATGGGTGGAAATCGATACGAAAATCAATGGTCAAGCACAAATTCAAAAAATGACACGACTTACTAACACCAAATGCTCAAACACGAAACACCCAATTTCAAATATGTTTAGTTGATATAATCTAGATATAGTTTCTAACTCTCTCATATATAATTGTAAGGCCCTCATATGTACGGATAGTTCATGGTAGGAAATTGATATGAAATTAATGGTTTAGTATTTGACAACACGAACAATCTACAAATAAGTTAATGTCAAACAACTAATTTCAAAATGACACAAAACATTTGGTCGGTATCATATAAATATAATTCAACACGAATCCGAAATAATACCATTCATATATAACTAACACCCCTCACATGTAGCACACAAACACAGCCATGCATGAATGTCTTGTAAAATATTGTTTTGACTTTTCGAGAATTCCCTTCTTGTCACTTTTGCATCCTTTGGCCAATCTCTTGGTTGTATTCTCTGTTCCCCCCCAATCTTGTGTTTATTTGTCTTGTTATATTTCTTTGATTTGATAGATGCATTAAGGTGGACCAAGGCTACCTGAACCATGACCCCTGTTTCAATATAAGCAAGAGTCAACCACTAAAGAAAGATTTAAAAAGATACCCTTTGATATTTATTTTATGTGTAACATTGTTCTTGGATTTATTTCATGTGGGCAACATTCTCCATGGGAGTTGAGCATAGATTATTGATTAGGCAGCATTAAATCCTGTGAAGATTGTGCTAATAGAATGCAATTATTGCCCAACAATAAGTAGGCACTTCTCCTATACCTATTCCTCAAACGAAAAACAATTACCTTGTGCTTCTAATATGGCTACCTACTCCCTATCATATTATACAACCACCATTGCCAACTGGTTTTCACTCTTATATGTCTGAAGATACTCTAAAATTTTGAGGGTGAACTTTGGCACAGGGGTAAAATTTCACTATCACCGTCTATAGAAGCATACAAAGATAAGACCATGCACATTCGATCCGTAAGATCATGTAGTAACAAAAGTCTTGTGCACTGAATTGACTTTTTTTTTTAATGGTGTAACCAATAAAACAACCATAATGGTGAGAAGGACGTTTGTTCTTACATGAACTATCTGGTATATAAATTGCGTAACTTTTTTTTTTAGTTCAACAATCAGGAATATTCGGGTCAACTTACACGCACTTCGATTAACTTTTTTTTTTTGATCCGGTAAAAGGCAGACAATTCANATTGTTGGGATTTCTCACGATTTAAATCCACTAACAAACACACACAATCGAAGAACAAATCAAGAATATAAAGCAATAAGAAACAAGAAAGAACAAGACACAGATTTTACGTGGTTCGGCAATTTGCCTACGTCCACGAAGCTGCAGGGATTTCACTATTGAGAGAGTTGAATACAGAGAGCGGCTGTACCATCCACAATTTAACCCTAATCACCAAAACAACAGGGTTTATATGTCCTATGCACTGGGCTGTATAACGGGCCCAAAAAAAATTTTCCTTGGGGGCGTTGCCCCCGAACCCCCACGAGACTTGTCTATGAGCGCTACGGCTTGGGTCTATCGGCCCAAGCCTTCGCTCCATGGACTAAGCTTCAGAAAATTTTTCATTAAAAACCACACAACATTATTTCGGATCGGGTCATCATCCGGATCACATATATAAACTAGACTCCATAAAAATAAACCAACAGAATATTGCTATTCTTGTGTCTATATGACAACTTAACGGGCAGATAGTCAGGGACGGAACCATTAGTTGGTTGAGGTGAGTTGAAGCCCAGAATAAAAAAAAAATTTTATCACTTTCTTACCAACCCATTAAACAATTTTTTCATTAGCCCAATTTATCAACTAACCCAACCCAACCAAAAGCATCGGCTACCTGCAAATTTCCCCAAATCTGTCTCTTCTCTCAATCACTTCTCCCAAAATCATGTCGAATACATGCTAACAGTATCTTCTCTCTCAGGTGGCCAGTCACTTCCCCCAAAATTATGTCAGTCTCTTTTTTCTCCGGTTGCCACTTCAACGCAAACACCCTCCCCCTATCCCTCTTATGCGCAAACACTATCCTCTCTCTCTCTCTCTCTCTCTCTCTCTCTCTCTCACTCACGTGCGCCCAACCCCAACAGGTACGATTCATCACCTCCACCTCCTCTCCCCTCTTTGTTTAGTTTTGCTCTTCGTTTCCGTATGTTTGTCTCCCTACCTCTATTTGTTTGGTTTTGCTCTTCGTTTAAATGTCCAAAAGCTGTTCAATCAAATGCTAGGTTGGACCTGAACTTAGGTTATTAATTTAAGATGAACTTAGGTCATAAATTATTCAAATTTAGTATCAGAGACGATGCTAATTTGGAGGTCCTGATTGGAATGTAGTTCTTCCCGAGAAGATAATTTGCAAGCTTTGAGCAGTCAAACTAAATCAATTTTCAATTCAGTGTAAAAAGAAAAATAGACCATTGTTTCTTGTAAATCAGATGTTACCGTGTTTTCCAATAGTATAAAATTGACAGAGCAACAAAAATGTTTCATAAACATTCAAATTTATAAGCTTTAACAATAGCCGCATGGTAGTAAAGAATGATATATATTTTATAAACAATTCCTGTTGATATTCAAACAACTCACATTTACAAAACATTGCCATTTGTGAGCAGCAAGGCCAAAACAGTTGCTGTACAGGATTTTGGATAACAGAACAATTATTCTGCTGTTTTTTGTACAGTTTACTGTTCACACTGTTAAAACAGTTATTGTTTACTTTTAACAGTTTTTGTTTTTGCTTCTTGTAATTTTGAATTTCATTCAATAAAATTTTCTCTTTTCCTAAAAAAAAAAAATTGTTTATGAGTTTACATTTATATTTTGTTAGTCATATGAATACTTAGTTTAACTCAGGATAAACAAAAATCTTAGTTCCGCCCATGCAGACAATATAATGGTCTGTGACCTAGAGATGGCCCGACCGACCCAGCCCAGTTGTGGATTTATAGGCACTCAGTTTTGGTGTTTGTTGCAAGCGAAAGCATTGGTAAAGAAGGCCAAAACTAATCAGGATTATCTCACAAATGACCGAAAATAACCGAGTATTCTTACATTCTTGCGTTCATCACTGTAAAGGTCACAAACCAACAATTCATGAAAAATAAGCATCCTGAATGTTTATATTTCAACCAATCTCTACTACAGCATAAGCATAGAGAAGTACTGCTCGAATTCTTTATCAATGGTTAATTTCTTGGCACCGGGTTGAGCTTCTGCATTCAAAACATAAGCAATACTCTTCAGTGTAATAGCCGATAAACCAAGAGAAAGAGGATAGGCTAATTTTCTGCTATTTATATGGGCATACTAGCAACAATGACATAGATGGAGATTACGAGATGGTCAAGAACTCGCAAATTACAAGCACCATGGCAATTATGACCCCCCTATATGCTTCAATACAATTTTTCATATCAAAAAGTAAATTACCTTGGTTGACATTCCATCTTCCGGATGAAAGGACATAATTATTCGGATTCACCCCATTGAGGTGGAGCATATCTTCAAGTTCTTTGTCAATGTATTGCTCAATGTCATAACTTCTGTATTCTGAGCAACTGTAATCCACATGGCTTCCGAAATCTTCGAGGTGCTCCTCATAATTCAGAGATGTATGCAATTCAAGATCAGGAGAATTAAGCTCTCCAACGATATATGGTGATTTCTCTTTATCACCACTATATTTTGTCACTGCTCTGCTATCCAAAGAATAGAGGGCAGTCTTGAAACAGTCTCCATCCCAATTAACAGATGAAGTGGAAGGCTGATCGCATGAACTTGTTTTTGGGTACTCCAAGTTATGGTTAGCTTCCCCACATACGAACATTACAGAGTCAGCACCATCAGGGGAGCTACGACAGTCTTTCCTAGACACTGGTTTTGACTCATCATCTCTCGCCCCTCCATCAATTTTCATCTGGTTTGTGCATGTATGGAAGTCGTCTGCCTCTGGGTTTTCATTAAATGAGCAACCACATTGTGAAGTAAAGCTTTGACCCCTGCACTTATGCTTGGGCAGAGGCAAACCCAATTGTTCGGCTTGAAATTTTCTTTTCTTGTTCAAGCAAATAATTATGGTATGCGCTTCTTTGTTTGCATCAGCACTGCTAGTAACAAGTAAAAGACCATTATAAGAATTGCATGGCACGGATAATTGGCCATTAAGAATAATTTGGGCTGATGGACAATTTTTCATCTCAGCAGGCCAAAAGAATGAGGAAATGATGACCTGACGCAACATGCTTCAATCCAGTCTTTTATCCCCAAACATCTCAATTAAAATAAGATCAAGGAAAACCAGAATTGCTAAAATAAAGCCGAACCAATAAAACTTCATGAAGCATTATAAACGCTTCCTACTGGTTGACCACCTTAGTTCAGCATAAAAATACGAGAATGTTGAACAAAATATTTCAAGCCGTAAGCAAAGAGAAGGAAAAACAAACAACTAACATGGACTGCAAATATGAAGATTGTCAAAAGATCCCACAGAAAGCAAGTTACCACAACTTCATGCCATCATAAATTAAACCTAGTCAAGATTCCAAAGGAGATAGAAGAACTTAGGTTTGTGTCACATTCAAGTGCGCATGATATCGTTTTTTATCCATCTAGTATTTAAAGCTTTGGAAATAACAACGTATTTGAATCTTTTGCTCTAGAATAAATAATGCCTCCATTTAGCACAAAGTGCATAGCAAAGTTTACAATTCGATAAATACTGCTAATAATTTTAAGGAATCAAGAATAAGTTCCTCTTTTCCTTGCTTAGACCCAACTACAGGAAACATGTTATTGTGGCCATGTTGAACCCATATTTCACACCCACACTTATGGATCACACCATGTTGGGTTTAAGATAAGTGGTTTGCACATTTTGAATTATAATTCCAACACAGTCAAACTTTCTATTAAACTCTTTGGGCCTTCGGAGCAAATCCAATGATTCTGAATTCTTCATGTGCAGCAACCTACCTCAACTAATTCTGCCAAANTAAACTCTTTGGGCCTTTGGAGCAAATCCAATGATTCTGAATTCTTCATGTGCAGCAACCTACCTCAACTAATTCTCCCACATCTATTAGGTTCACCCAATTAGCTCAATTCATTCACTTACAATGGTGCCACGGCCTATGTTTCTCATAAAGACCACTTTCACAGCTCAACGTGTATTGACTGAAAATCTTCTTCCAGAGCAAAAACTAAGGCATTATCAACATCAGCATAGCAGAAAAACTTTGTCGAAATTCCTTAAACATATTTAACCCCAAACAATAAACAGTTCCACCCAATTGTAAATCAACTATAATTTTTAGTTTACCCCAACAATTTAATGCAGGACCATACATATCATTAAAGTTTTAAGTCTTTCATTTTATGTCTATTTGTTCGTTATAGATCAGGGTGAAAATACAAGCCTTACCCATATGATCAATATGGCCAAACAACAAGTTGGATTCTTACTAAAACACCCAGATATTCAAGGTCCTCACCG